TGCAGGTGCGAACCTGGAAATCTGCGACAGAATCCCCACGCGTTAGGACACAAACAAGCAGTCCAGGTCCGGGTCAGATAACGTCAGCCATCACAAGGCTGCCCGTGGTTGGACCCAGTCGACCCGGTATTGGCGTAGAGCCGCACAGGCCGGGTCTGAACTCAGCTGAGTCAAACCATGTGCTAGCAAAACCAGCGTCGGGAGAGTCTGACTCGGGCCGGATCAAGAGATGGTACATGTACCAGTACTCCACCACAGTGGCCGAGTCGGAGTCTGACAGTGTGCCGGCCGCGTCGGGAGCTGGAGAGTGTCAGAACGCCATCGCGCGGGCCGGCTCCCAGATCAACTCAGTCTAAGGCTGAGTCCAAAGTCGGCTCTGGTACAACCATTGCACAGGCAGAGTTCAAGGCGGGCTGATTCGGAAGCCGATACGTGGTAATGCAACAGCTCACGGGTAAGCTTGGACGATGGATGGACCAATGAATAAATAACTGGCACAGAGTGTGTGACAAGTGTTTCACACCATTGGGATTTCTTGAGACAGGTTTCAACCAAATAACACACAACCATACAATACTTTAAAATGGTTTTGCACACCAGTGGGCAGTGAACAATTATCCACTGGAGGACAGTAAACAATCAACCAATAGAAGACAGCAAACAATTATCCACTGGATGGCAATGAATAATCATCCACTGAAGGATAAGGAACAATTATTCACTGGAGGACAGTGAACAACCATCTGGCAGAGGACAGTGAACAATTATCATGCACATCACACAACAGACTGACACCTACATACAAGACACCAATCTAGCAGGTTTTGATACCTTGGGTATATTTGTGAAATGGCAAATCTGAATCATCTCTATTACTGCTACCACTGACTTCATGAAACTTGTTCAGAGGGAATGTAAAGGTCATCATTCATGTGTGCATGATAGTCATTAATGAGCTTCATAACACAAATTGAATAAATATACCCAACTTTTATTGGTTTTGTGTTTCCAGGTGCATCAATGACAACACAAACACTTGCTGTAATACTTTATCTTCATGAATTACCTATTTGATGCAATGCTTAACAATATTCTTAAACGATCTATTTCAATGAGAAACAATGGAGCTAAAACCCACATTTAAGTGCAGGACCAGGTGAACTGTAAAGTCACCCAGCCTGTTCATCAAGACCAGGTAAAGTCATCCTATAGATATCACACTTTTTACACAAGGTTGCTCAAACAATATCACAGATATGATCTGGTGAACCATTTGGGGAAAGAGAAGGTTAGTGAGCCCAATTATTACATGCCCTACTGTTATGTGTTAAGGAGCATACAATAGACAAATCAACCCTGATGACTTTCAGCCCCAAACATGGGAGGACTTCCATTGCTCCTGGAGGCAAGGGGCCTAACATGCAGCCCTTAATGACTTTGCCACACCTCCCACTGATGCATGGCATGCTACCCTCACTGACTTCAAATGGTGCTGATGGAAGTCTGGTATTCTGTGCAGAATCCTAGTACAGTGGATCATAGGTATGTGCCACCCCTTGGAGCCCATGTGCGCAGTGCCAACCTCTAGAAAAAAATGTGCCTAACAAAAATGGCTGCAGAACATTTGAACCTCACTGATGAAATGCTCATACTGCCAGACTGCCTGATTTTGTCTTTTACTCATGTCACAGTTCACAGACATGTGGCTGCTTTGATGACTCACCCTACATGGCAAAGCTACATACACACCAGCACATAGCTAAGAAGTAGTCCTCATGAAAGGTATATGTCAAATTTGGTGTACTGAATTTTGCCATCATTTTGTCCTGAAACAAGATACTTTTCATCTTGGTGGTTAACAAAAAAGGTTATCATGCATACAATAACATGTAAGTCTTGTGATTGACATAGTTCTTGAACATTAGAAATTTACAAATGATGACTTAACACCCCAAACCTACCACATAATGATGTTTCAGGTTTTATTATGAGCCAACAACTATAATCACCTGATCAATTATGGTCACTTTGCCCCCAAAACTATAACTTTGGTAGTTTCAGCATGCTCATGATTTGTCACTCAGCCCTACTATGGCACATAAGGGGAAAACAATCCTGTTTCTTATCAGTCAAAATACAAGAACTTCCTCATGACAAAAACACTAAGAAGCACATAACCTGCATATGGTGATGGGCCATGCACCCATGATTCACATGGGGAAGCGCACCTTTGTCTATACAACTATTTCTTTAGTTATTTCAATGAAATCATGCTAAATGGCTTGAAGAGTGAATTATGCTTAAGCTACCTGGTTCAGAACCACCATGCTGTGCATTCTGAGCCCATCACCTGATCTGTGCCACCCAGTTGAAAAGATAATTTTGTGTTCACCCTTTAGCCAGATTGGACAGAGGGACAGCACAGTGCAGCCTACACATGAACAGTATCATGCTGCATCACAACCTCCCCATGCCTGCACTGACCCTTGCTGCCAATAGCCAATGGTCACTGCTTGTTAAGTTAGGAAAAACAGTGCCTATGATCTGGGACCCATGCTGCAACTAATAGATAATGAGTCCAGCAACTCTACTACATATCAGAGTTCACTATAATAGCACACACCATTTCACCACTAGATGTGCAAGCAGTTGAAACAGGTACAGATTCATCCAGATCCAGCACATGGTCACTGAATCAATGGCTGATGATTGATTTTGACTTTACATCACTTTCTTAAGCTAGTATTTCACATAGAGCTGCTTACAAGCACCACCAATCTATTCCAATGCCCCTTACATAGGTGGCTTGTTACCTTTCAGTTGGGAAAATTCATTTTTGTGATAGGTGATAACTACAAGTACTTGTACCACATCATTGTACTACTTGAGTACAACTAGGAAGTCACTCTTCAGTTGCTTTGAGTGTACATGGCTGTCAATAAAGATTCATTTCATTTTCATCCCAACACTACCAGCAATTTACCCCAAGCTACAATTTCTGTCACAATGATAGCCTTGAACTGGAAGTGTTACTGCAAGGCAACACCTGACATATTGTTTTGCCAGCACAAGCCTTCACTAAGTCAAAAATAAATATTTCAGTCAAATCTGAGTATGTAAGCACCAATGTTTTCCACAATACCCAACCCCAAAATCCTTGCATGACCATTAGAGGATCCCATACAATCTAATGAAACATAAATATACAACTGAGTAACAAAACAACATTAAGCCTGAATCACTCAACCAGTCATGACAAAAACAATGTATTAAGCCTTTAATTATGCCAGTGAGCCATTTCATATCTATGAATACACAAAAAACCATTACGACAATCCCAACAGAGGGGTTCGTCGTAATTGTTATAGCCTATAAATTGAACAAAAGTGGTCTATACCAGTGCCATGTCAATCGTTTCATGTGCGCAATATTCGTCTCACACCACGCAAAACCACTATATTGCAATTCAATAAAGCTTAAAACCCTCCCGCTAGCCTCGAGCACTCCTCACCTGATAAGTTCCCTCCGGATGCTATATATATCGAGCTGGAAACCACCAATTCCCTACCAAAAGCACAAGATGGCGTTCCCCACCACCGCAGAAAAATCTGTGCCCGAACTACGCATGCGCACATCAAGCTCAAATGATTGGTCGTGACGTCAGTAGTTTGACCGGTGAAAGCATTTGGTACGGTAACGCTGCTTTTCGTTCTGCCTTTGCATATATTATGCCCATGACGCGCCCGCAGCCCTCGACGAAGAACGGTCGGCGGTGCGAAGCACGGATTTTTTTCCGAAACCAGACTTTTCAATGCTTTTTTTCGCTTGTGCTGTTTGCTTAGACAACCTCATAATGGAAACATTTCGATAGTTTCTCGAAAACAATGACCAACAAGTACAGGTGCATTGCTGCGTGACGATGCGGCGCAGCACCATGGCCAAACCACTAATACTTTGGAGAGCAAACCATTTGCCTGCCGAGCAGAAGTGATGCCTTCGCGAGTAGCTGATAGTTTGGGACAGCGACTCCGCAACGGGGTGCGGATGGCAAGTCGCCCAGGGGACATATATTAACTCGTTGAAGGCTCAGGGAATTTGCATTCATTTAGCAGGGGTGAGCCACAAAGTTGGCGTTGACTGAAAGAATCACTGTGCTTTACAGTCTAAACGTTTAAGCGCGTTCACCTCGGGAGTCAGCAAGCCGCAGCCAGCATACCGGATGAGCCGTTCGGAATCCGCAGCCGTCACGCCGGACAAGCTGCTCGGAAACCGGGGCCATCACGCCGAACGAGCCGTACGGAAGCCGCCGTAACGACTCTTCCAATGCGTCCATAAGCCAATCAAATATTTTAATACCGCCGATGGCTGCCCACTTGCCACACACTAAAGGCTGTCACTGTCCAGTGCATTCCTTCAATTGAAACACGCCATCGGTGCACTCAAAATGCACCAGACAAACGGACGAACTCGGCTCTAGCCGACGGACAACGCTAACATGAGAATCACAGCTTTCTCGGGCGTGTGGGCACCGGCGCACGGCCACCCCTCCCCTTCCCCCTCGCCCGGCCCAGTCAAGGACAGATGATCCCACACAGCTGACGGCGCGGCGGCGCTGACCGCGTCACGAGCGCAACAGGACAGCGCAGAGCACACACACACGCTGAATCACAGCGACGGCCGGGACGTCCCAGCCGACCAACACCGGCCGCCGCGCGGCTCAGGTGCTCCACAGAACGCGCCAGCCAGCTGCGGACGCACTCACAGCCTGCTCCCAGGTGACTTCCACTGCGTTTCAACACCGATTTGTCAGTGGCCACGTGCCCGCGATGCCTGAGTTCGCTACGAAAAAGAGCCCCAAAAACGGGCCGTCCGCCGCGTCCTCCAGGTTGATGCGAGTCAACAACGACGCGATTGGCACGTGAAGTGGTTTCCGCGCGGTGCCGTCACCCACGCCGACGACCCCGGCTAATCGGCACCTCGAAGCCCCACAGGGCAGTCACTCAGCTGGAACGAAAGCAGCGGAGCTCAGCGTGCCGTTCGTTCACACTTCGCGCACAGTCGCCAAACCGACACGCGCGTAGAGAACAGCCCGCGGAAGACATCCCGCCGCTGCTTCGTGAACCAGATCACGGCAGCGCTATCGCGCACAGCACGCTGTCAAGACGCGGCTGCACCAGACCGGGCCGACAGCGGGTCGGGCCAACAGCGGGTCGGGCCGACAGACGGCCAGGCCAGAACGCCCTCAGAGCGGCCGGACACGGGCCCGCCTCTTCGCCACAAGTCGGTGGCGGACTACCCTAAGCCACGCGGCCACGACGGCTTCTCTGCGACGTCCCAGCGGCGCGCGACCTCGCTCCAGCCGTCCGGCAGTCGGCTCCGTCCCGCGCGTCCGCCACCCGCCACCTGGACGGCACCCTAACGTCGGCGCGGCCCGGCGCGCCGCTCAGCGGGGCTGCTGCGCCATGTGCGCGGCGAAGAGGCGGCGGTCGAGACCGGCTACGTCGGGCGGCGCCGGCTCGGTGACACCGACGCCGTCCGGCCGCCACGGCCAGAAGAGCCGCGTGCGCGCCGCGTGCCGGAACTCGGCCACGGCCGCCTCCGGGCACTCGTACGAGCTGGTGTTGTGCTGCCGGTCGAACCAGTACAGGCGCTTCTGCGTGCGGCTGAAGGACATCATCCACGGCTCTGCGGAACGGCACGCCGGTCACGCGGGTCACGCACCGCCGTGGGTCAGTGGGGACGGGGCTGGTGGCGGCTTGCAGAGATCACGAACGTTAACCATGCGAGCCATGGTACTGGTGCTGGTGCTGGGATCGCGAACGAAAGCATCAGGAAACGATCACGTGTCATGAACACCATCAATCGTGGCTGTTGCGGACGTTCTTTTCACCCACGTACCAGCACCTTCTTTCAGGCGCTAAAAGCACCACGGGGCCCGTAGGCAGCAGTTTACATTACATACCGGTCACACGCAAAAGAGTACGCAGAGAGCTCCAGTAAAGTACCCCTGGGGCCCAAGACACCGCACTTCAGAACGGAGGCAAGCGTCCCCGTGCAGAAGGTGACAAATCACAAGTGACATGTGCCACGTGCCGGCTTCAGATGAAGGACGCGAGTCCGGCGCGACGCCCACAGCTGAGTGCCCGCGGCCAGCGGCGGCGATTGCCTTCTGTGACGGCCGACCTATCCATGGATTATCGACGAGTGCAGGGCCAACACAGCGTATAACCTCACCGGCGGCCAGGAGTCCCGCCGGTGCGAGCGGCCGCCACCGGGCCCGAGCACCACCATCCAGTGCCGCTGGGCGTCTCGCGGTTCGAATGAAACACCCCACCCCGTCCGTCCCCGAGTATCAGGCCCTGCCATTTAGCTGTTGCGCTTTAAAGGCGCGTCAGGTACATTAGCTATTTGGGCCGCATCACGCCATGCCACGACATCGGCGTGGCCCGCAGCGCGGGACCGCGGCGCCGGTGCGGCCGCCATGGCGTGTCGGGCAGCCACGCTTCGGCGCCACGCTGATTTATCGGCCGAATTCTGGCCGCGTTCCAGGACCTACCGATCGTCCCGCCGGCACGTGACAGGCCCACACATCGACCTTGCCACTCCGGTAATGTATTGGGTCGCCGTGGCGTGATACGTCTGCCGCTGCTGAGGCGGCGCGTGCATGCGATCCTCCCTAACTGGCTTCTGATTGCCTGTGTTTGGATTGCCCATCGAATCAAAATGAAAATGACACGTTTGAACATCTCGCTTCTCACGGCCGACAGCGAGTCACAGGAGTGCCAAGTCGGTGCAGGCATCGCGTCTCTCCCTCACCCCGCGAAGGGTGTGGGGGCCGGGGGGGGGGGGGCGAGAAGCTCACCTCGCGTGGACCTGAGCAGCATGAGCCCGGTAGGCACGAAGAACGAGACCTCGTTGTCGTCCTCCTCCACCACGTGCACCAGCCGGTCGTGGTGGTGCGAGCCCTTGACGGGATGCCGCTGCAGACTGACGGGCGGAGAGGAGAGAGGGAGAAGGGAGGGGTTAACGTCGAGCTTGTGGTCATCATACACGAACACGGCGGTCGGAGAGGGACAGCGACATCACAAAAGATGGCGCCACCTGCGTTCTGAACAAATGTTACGAAAACAGGTGACCCGAAAGGGAGTGACTTCCATGACAGCTGATGGATGTAGAGTATACAGGGCGTTAGAATAGCGTATGACGTTATAGATAGAGAAGCTCAGGCTGTGGTATCTACCGACATAATAACCTGCGCTGGATAGAAGAAAAACACACTGGTAGTGACTTCAAGCACACATACCGGTTAACCGCTTATTTCACTCAGGATTCGGTAAATATCAAACACACAAAACGTATCATACCACGACGAGCTTTGGGCCGCAGTTGCCCAACAAACCAGTTCACATAAATCTCCTCCCTCATTTATCCCAGTCCCCATTCCCATCTGTGCAGCAGCCGCTTCAGCCCTATCCCACCACCTGTCCAGCAGGCGGCCCACCCTCGCCACCCACCTGTCCAGCAGCGCCTCCACCTCGTCCATGCGGTAGGCGCGCTTGCAGCGGACGGGCGTCATCTCGGTGCGGCTGGGCTTGTTGACGGCGGCGGCGAAGGCGGCGCAGGCGGCGAGGCGGCGGCGCAGCGGCTGGCGGCGCACGTCGCGGCCGCCCAGCATCACGGCGTCGAGCAGGTGGAGCGCGGCGCCGCGCCGCTGCGCCAGCGGCTGCGCCAGCCGGCCGCGCAGCTCCGGCACCAGCTCGGCCAGCACCAGCGTGTCGGCCGGCAGCTCCAGCCCGTCCAGCTTCGACCACTGCGCCTCACCCAGGCCCCGTCGCCACACGTTCTTCCGACCCAGTCCTGGGGGACAGGCACGGGGGAGAACGTTATCACTGCCTCGGCGGTCAGGACGTGGGAACAATACTACGGAATCAATTCGAGGGGACGGGACCGGTAGGGGGACGAATCTCGGTCGTTTCGGTGCTGACCGAGCCGCGAAGGGATCACCGGAATCGCTACCCGATCTCGTACGAGGACGAGGCCGTTACGGTAGGCTCCCAACAGAACCTAGCGCCAATGCCCGTGTAAGGCCAGACGCTAGGCTGGTGGTGTCCCGTGGCCGAGCGGACAGTATCGCAGACTTGTGGTTCAATGCAGACGGGCGAGAGAGCATGAAGCAAATGTTCAGACCCGATCATTGCGGCATGCCCAGGTCGGCTGGTAGTGAGCCAGAGAACCCAGCGGTGAAAAGGCGAGTGTGAAGTGGCATTGCACAAGAAAACGAACCTTTAGGCCGTATTCTGTCCGACAAAACGTCGGAAAACAATCATCTGTTGACCACGGGTGGTAAGGGACACGGCTGGCTGATCCCGGAAACCAGTAACCAATCAAAAACAATATAATCTGAGCCCAATACATCCCATGGCAGCCACCTGGCAATACATTCTTTAACACCGTTTTGCGGCAAGCTTACGGTGAGCTATTTACAAGCACCAGGTCCATGCTCAGTTTGCTTCGTGCGACGATGTCACACAATCCAACTGAAACTACATTTGAGTTCGGCTCAAACTATGCAACTAAATCGACAGTAATGCAGACCCCGGACCACCAAGCATCTCATAGCCAACTTCACACCCAACATAGTCCCAATGCCAGAGGCTCCTCCGCGCCCTCTACCTATCATTCGCCACCATTTAAGGCCTAGCAAACCCCACCCACGTCCATTACTCGCCCCAGCGTCTCCCTCTCGCCTCCCCAGACCGTGCCACCCGTCACCGACCAACCACCCAGCCCACCGGCCGCCGGCACTCACCGAGCACGAGGCAGCGTTCGCGCCGGCTCTCCGGCTCGACGCCCATCACCACGGCCAGCCAGTCGTACTGCGAGCGCACCAGCGTCGGCAGCGTATCCGGCTGGAGCCGCGCCGCCGGCGCCGCCAGTGCCTCCAGCTCGGCGTCGGCCGTCAGCCGGCGGAGCGCCGCCTCCGGCCGGCCGGCCGCCGGCCGCGACGTGCGTGCCATGTCGGGCACGGCCCAAGCGGCCAGGCACTGCGCGCGCAGCTCCTGCTGCCGGTCCTCGCGCAGCTGCACGTCCCGGTAGAAGGTGCGGATCTTGGTGAGGCTGACGATCTGCCGCTGGCCCAGGCTGGCGGAGTGGAGGCGGGGGTGAGGCTCGGTCCCGGTGGGCGGACACGGCTCCCGACCGGAGACAGTACACCGCGCAGAGCTCAAGCACGGCCTTGGTGAGCAAAACTGTTCCCGAGCTACTCTAGCAGCAGAACATTCCTGGAGTATCAATAGCACGTTCATCGCAAACAGATGGCCGACACTGCTTCTCTGCACTGCCAGAGACGGCGACAAGCCACTGTCCGGACTCTTCTCTCGCCAGACTGTAGCAGCTACGGATCACCAATTCAATCCCTCCCCGAAAGCTTAGGTAGCAAGAAATCAATTGCATTATACATATATATATATATATATATATATATATATATATATATATATCTGGCAAAGTGGGAGGTAACAGACTGGAACATACCTTACTACTACCCCCCCCCCCCCCCTACCCAGGCACACAGCGGTCGGGTGGGGGGCACCACTACACCGATCTGTTGAGGGGAGTGGGACATCTGAATCTGTCTATCGTCTCCGAGTCTGTCGGCTGGATCTGTCTATGGTCCACTGCTGCGGCACAGCAGCTGCTAAGTTATGCATCGACTATCCGACGATAAGCCCCATCCTTTCTACTGCATCCCCGGGCTCAGACCACTCGATTCGAAGGCCGACACCGTCACATCGCCCCGTCGCTCCTGACCGCCTTCCACACGCGAACACACTGTCCCGGCACACGGCTGCCGGCCTGGGTCCAGCCGCCACTAGCCGGGTCCAGACCCCGCCAATCCAGCCCATCACTTACTCGTTGTTGGAGCGGTTGATGTAGTCGTTGAACACGCGGTCCGCCTTGAGCACCTCCAGCGGCACCACGTGCATGACGTCCTGCTCGGAGAACGAGCCGAACTCTTCCAGCCGCTGGTTGACCTCGTCCATGTAGTCGCGGACTGCGTCGGCGTCCGGCCGCCGCCACCTGCACACGATGTACCTGCGCCGGGACGCGCCGTCAGCGGGGCAGCGTCAGGCGCGTGCATAACGCGGTGATACGGTGTGGAGTCCGGATGAGCAGCCGGCAAAGACGAGTCAAGGTCAAGTGAGGGTGATTCCAAGCGCGACGATTATCAAAGACGCCGAAGGCGATCTTTTGCAATCGGTCACGCAATTGCAAGACTGCGGATTGCGTGAATCGATGCGGTTCTTTGTCACGACGGCGGAAAAATGCAACCACCACTCGAACGCGATGGAGCAGATTCTGTTCCGTTCAAAGGCTTAATACGTCACCCTGGACTGCAACAGGTAAGGTATTTTACGAACTAAACGGTTGCGTGTTGAAGCTTTCTGTTCTGAAAACAAGGCCGACAATCGCGAAGTTGAAACATGCATGGTTACTTCCGGACATGCGTATTGTGCAAACTGACGTCGAGCAGACATGCTGGGGCGAAAGGAACTATTTTTCCCGAGACAACGTACCTCTGTCACGCTACTTTGCCCCCACCCCGCTACGCATGGATCGTCAACACCCTCCTCCCCAACCACACGGGTTCATTGTCAGGTCTGCATCCGAGCGCAAACGAGTTCCGTGCTGCGAAATGTCGCGTGAGATAAGACATAAGCCGCATGCATGGTGAAACAAGCCAGCGTTACGGACGATTACGAATGCGGCGATGAGGTTGTCAAACGCTGGTAATATTATTCGCTTCACGTCATTCCACGTGACGCTGGTATTCACAGTACCTCTCCGAGTTAGCCGGCCGGCTGGTGTTGGGCTTGATGATGCACACCTCCTTGAAGGCCATGTACATCAGGTACACGAGGCCGACACTGAACGGCGTGAAGAGATCGAACAGCTTGCAGACGAAGTGGCCGTCTGAAGACGTCAGCACAGGGTCAAGGTGACGGCGATGGCGTCCAGTGGAGAGGACACGGGCTAAGTCACGTCGGATCGAGCAGACATCGACTCAGAGTCACATCAGAGGTGCAAGCATTGACTCAGCCACATCGGAGGGTGAAACATTGACTCTGTCACATCGTAGGATACAGATACAGTTCAGAGTCGCATCGGATGGTGCAAACATTGACTCGCACATCGGGGGGCGCTGACATTGACTCGTAGCCACATCGAAAGGCGCACACATGGACTCAGAATGACAGGGGAACAGACATACCCTTAGAGGGACATTCCGTGACAGCAGACAGGAAATGACAGTGACGTCAGGCAGCACAGGCAGCGGTCGGGGTGACGCCAGACAGCACGGACAGGGGTCGCAGTGACGTTAGAGAACACGGACAGGGGTCGCAGTGACGTTAGAGAACACGGACAGGGGTCGCAGTGACATTAGAGAACACGGACAGGGGTCGCAGTGACGTTAGAGAACACGGACAGGGGTCGCAGTGACGTTAGAGAACACGGACAGGGGTCGCAGTGACGTTAGAGAACACGGACAGGGGTCGCAGTGACGTTAGAGAACACGGACAGGGGTCGCAGTGACATTAGAGAACACGGACAGGGGTCGCAGGGACGTTAGAGAACACGGACAGGGGTCGCAGTGACGTTAGAGAACACGGACAGGGGTCGCAGTGACGTTAGAGAACACGGACAGGGGTCGCAGTGACGTTAGAGAACACGGACAGGGGTCGCAGTGACATTAGAGAACACGGACAGGGGTCGCAGTGACGTTACGGAAAGGTGACTCAGCCACTCGTTGACGTCACATGTGCTCAGGCTGGGCAGAGGTGGCAATGACACTCTGGTTGCATTCACAGGTCGAAGCCCAGAGGTCTTAGTTTTTTTTAAAATGAACAGATGATTATGGTTTCAAAACGTAATCGTCCAACCCCAACAAACCACTATCACCGGAAAAATGAAAACTATTGCGCCTTGAATCGTAACGCTATGGATTGAAACGCTGCCGTAATGAAAGCGCCACCAGTTGACACGGTCATCAGCTACCATAACGTCAGTTCCAGACGACATCGTTGCAGAAAATTATGGCACAGCGAAAACACCCACCGTGAAAGAAACACAATGAACCTGAGTAGTGTTGCCACCTTCTAGGCGATCAGGAATGTACACAGGAATTCGTGATGAGGTGACAAAACTAGATTAAAAAACAAAAAAAAAACAACTTAAAACCCAGCTCAGCGCGCCGCAGACGCGCAAAATTTTTGGCGTGACATAAAACAACATCATGCGCTTCGATCATCATGTTTAAGTGCCGATCCCGAATTAAGTAGATGTAACATTTATTCACGCACCTATTTTATGCATACAATACAATATGATAACGGGAGGAAAGGCCCGTGTCCACGGGTGCCACAATGAGCGTGCGCTCTGTAGGTGATGGCTACAAGAACAATTTTTTCAGTGTGTTCAATACATCTGAGACAAGACCTACGTCTTTGAGACTCCTTTCACTGCACGACTTTCCTCACAGCGTGGATCTACAAAAACAGCAAACTGCGAAAGCATGTGCCCATGACAAACTATCACATTAAGTAATGCAAACAATTTATGACATGTATGATTCAGTTTGATCACATTAGTGTGACAATTATTACTGGTCATCAGCGACACAAGCGTGAGAGCAAATACCGTATTTAATCATGCTGATCGGTGACACCCACTTACCAGTGCGAACTATGTTCAGGGCGGTGAGAAACTGGCACAGGTAGAGCTGCTTTGAAAGAATCTCCTGAATGTTTTCTTGGCCATCGACCGAAAACCCCTGTGAACCAAAACACCCAAGCTTAAATTCGGATCGTAATCTACGACATCCCAGCGTTCGACCGCGTACCAAAATCAATGAGGTTACCGTGCTCGCTATTCCTTCAAATACGTCCCACAAGTAATCGAGACGATGCCAGCCGGGCCACCCGAAAGCTTTCCACTCGGTACACGCAGCTGCAACACACACAGAGAGCCCGGGCAGCCCGGCAACGGCAGGACATCCGAGGCATTAGCTCGCCTCCCCGGCCACACTCGCCCGTGTAAATAGTGGGAGCGCTCGGACCGGCCGCTCCATCGGTAACCGATCGGGACGTGGCTGACGTCGGAGACGGACCGCCTGTCCGGACGGCAACCGTCCGACGCCGGGCAGCTGTCCGGCCGGCAGTCATCCGGCACCGAGCAGCTGCCGGCCGGCAGCCGCCCCGGCACCGAGCAGCTGTCCGGCCGGCAGCCTCCCGGCGCCGAGCAGCTGTCCGCCGCGGCACGCGAGGTGGGCGGCCGAGACCTCCACACCCGCGCGTCGGCTGTGTGACGACTGAGCTGGCCGCAGACCGGGGCCGGCTGGTGTGGCGCCGCGGGAGGCAGTTTGGCGAGGCTACATGGCGCCAGTATGGGCTGGCGCCGACTGGGGGCTTGCGTGCGTACTGCCCGGGGCACCGCCCAGCCATGCGGCTGCGTCGCTGCTCTCGCCGCGCGCGCATCGTTTGTTCCCACCGGACGTCCGCTTACAGACGCGATTGGTCGCATTGTTGAAGCACGCGGCACGCAAATCCCTTGGGCCTCTTGTGAATGCACAGAAGTCTTTCACCACACGCCCCAAATCTGCTGTGAATGCTCAGTGAGACGGACATGCAAGGGTGAACGAAATGCGTATCCCATGAGGCTTTGCTGTTACCGCTGGGACTTTACGACACCGTCAGCAGCTAACGCTATATGGCGCCACCTACATCTCACCCTAGCGGTAAGGGCAGGCATCGCGGAGAATCGAACCCCCAGGCCCTGATTTCTCCCGCTTGCGGCTTAAGCAACGATATACAACAAAACGTTCATAATGCTGCCATAGCAGCTGTTTCTTTGACCACATTCATGTATACATCATTGTTAATGTGCCATTGAGGCGCCTCTTACGACGGCACTTCGGCACAGCACAACGCTTAACAGTTCTGTGTGCTCTTAGTTCGATAGCGTCCAAAATTGATAACCCCGCCCTTTTCTATAAGAAGTTTTCATGGCCGTAACCCGGCGCGATGCATCGCGTCACCGCCAAGTCTCGACACGTACGCCGTCCGCCATCATGAAGTGCACGCCCTTGTCGTCTGTCTGCTTCATCACGAAGTTGCGGAAAGCCTGCTGGTTCTTCCGGCGGAACACGTCACCGTCTCCCTGCAGGCCGCCGTCGCCTGTCGTAAGGGTGGTCATCATCGCACTGCTAACTCAGGAAACTTTCAAATTAACACCGTCTCGCCGCGCAGCGTGTCGTGCCGTGCCGTGCGGACGTCGGCGACCTTCGTCGCTATCGGGTGTGTTCTGGCGTTAAATTCTCTAGCACTGGTACTATTTAGACTTGAGCACATTACTTCAGACAGCTGCGGTGGTCCAAAACAGCTGACAGTATACACACCATGACGAGTTAAGTGTAACAATGATCGTTACAATACAGCCTGTGAATGAATGGTTGCATTTCAATTGAAAGCTTAATGTCTATTAAAAGCATACTATTTTCATTCTTAACATCTTTCAAAGGGAATGACACACCATCTCCTTCATCCGATTCGCGGCACAGCCAAAATCAACGAAATGCCGTTACCTAGACAGAAATGCGTACGCGGCAGACTTCGAAAGCAAATACTTGTTAATAGAACAATCCCACAACACAGCAAGCGCGAGACACTGGACTTCGTCACAGCCGGCAGGTCACATTATCTGCCACAGCGCGGGACGTGGCCGCGCCGCCGCCGCCCCGGCGCACCCACCATAGTGCGGCTCGAACGTCTCCACGGGGCCGGCGTGGAAGTCATGCAGCTTGAAGTCGTTCTCGCCGCGCAGCGTGAAACCGAACCCCTTGGCCTGCCACTTCTTCTTCCACAGCACGTACTCGGAGAAGCCGCCCGGGCCGGCGCACACGTCCGCGAAGAACAGCAGGTCGAACTCGCCCAGCTGCGGGCGCTGGGCAGGGGGAGGGGGAGGGGAGGGGTGAACGGGCGGGCGAATATGGTAATGGCATCATCTAACCACCGGTCCGACACGTCCTTACTGACTAATGCATGGAGCTCGGTGCAATTTCCGGCATTGCCCCGACTGCAGCTTCTATGAAATCCATACAAGTCGTTGAGGCCTTCTGACTTCACTTGCGCCGGAGCTGTCGCGCGCAAAAGATGAAATCGGGAACATTTGCTGCGTCAGGGAGGCCGGTAAAATATTAAGACCACAATTCAGGATAGCTTAGTGATCACACAAATTTACTCCCGCCGGCCAGCATTTCTTTCCCAGTCCCCGACCAGATGATCTCACAAACGCCCTGCCGTCTAAAAAAGCTGCCTGGATTGGGTCCAGTGGAAAACGCCAGAGGAAAGCTCGCCTAAATCTGTGTACAATGATTGCCTCTAAACATCAGCGAAAACGACCTTTGCTGGACGAAACCCGCTCAAGGAGGCACAATGAACCCAGTTAGGCTTTCTTTCTACATTCATAACTGTGTGTTATGATGGCACAGCCACCACTATGGTATAAACATCAGCAAGCTGAACACATGCTGATAGGAGCCACAAGTGGGTGACAAGTACCTGCCAAGCAATTGACCTGCGACATCAAATAGGGTCATATGGACCAACTCAGCTGAGTGAACTACTTTAAGAAGAACTTGCCACAGGACGTCAACGAACCCCCCCCCCCCCCCCCCTCAACACTTGATAAAGTGAAGAAAAACATCTGTTCATGAGACGTATCACATACCAAACGAGGTCATGGGAGGTAATTACGCTGAAAAGAATCGCGGCATCGCCTATGATTGTGTATAGCACATCGGTAGCGTTATTTTTTCTCAAAAAACATGCCATAAAGTTAAACGTACATCATCGGACGCCTGACCGACACGCAACCGACATCATCTCGACATGGTTAGAACTCATTACCTACAAAGGTACAATAGTTCACATTTAGGTAGAAATTAATCATATCACAATTAATCATACGCATAATTAATCATAATCATAACTATCATAATAGAAATCGATCATAACTCAGGTAGGAATTGTCATCATCACGCGCTTGAGTTGTCCCAAAAACTAACATCACGGCGCCTACCAAGCATGCGGAGTCTGGCGAGGGCTAAATGAAATCACCATTTCATCAACAACCAGATGCTTTCTACTGCAGATGATAAGCATACCGCTATCAAGTATCCAGCTCCGCCGGCACCGTCGGCCGGCTCACACTGACATATCGCCACCCTTCCACGCACGTCCCTCTCCACCAGTACTCACGCCGTCCTGCGCTTTCGGGTCGGTGAACATGAAATCGAACCGGGCGTCCATGTTGGCCATCTTCATCGCGGCCCGGTTCAGGAAGAACACGCCCTTGATGGACTCGAACGGGTTGCTGCGACTGCGGGCCCGGCGCATCTCCACCGGCTGCAGCTGGTCAAACACGCTCTGCGGAGTCAAGCACGCTGTAAAGAGCGGCTCGCCAGACACGCCCGAAGAACAGTGGGTCAAACGTGCCACGAGGGACAGCAGGCCAGAGGCGTTCTGAGGGACATAGCGTAAAATACGAGGGCAGACATCACGTCTGATACTCTCTGAGGGACAGCAGACACAAGAGTGACATGTGGCGGGCACAATGAGATCCCTGGCACTGTCCGAATGCCAGATCGACGAAGTCGTACGCTGTCAGAGTCAGCGCGTTACTCTAAAGTAGCAAAGCCCATGTGATTGCTCACGCAGACGAGCACCCGGATAGAGCAACCAACCAGCACTCAACATCGAAAACGAGCGCACACTTGGGATCGATCACATCACGGCACGCGTACTTTGCAATTCAGAACGTCAGCGAGGATCTTGGAGTCGCAGAAGTGTGTCTCTCCTTCGATTTCTTTCTTCTTCGGCCCAGTTTCCACCCACGACATCATCTTTTCGAGAGACGGAATCTTCTTATCATAGCTGGGGATCCACGAGAAAGACTCCTCTACCTGTCGAACAAAATCCGCTATGGGAGAACCCGGAAACACTCAGGGACTGGCAGTGAAATCAGCTACAAGAATACGAACTTTAGACCGCTTTTCAATACTATCTGCAGCGTACTCATTGATAACCAAGCCGCACTGTGGCACGCACGGTCAACTTTTGACGACGACGCCTCATGACAAAGTGCCACCGAATACGTGGGGAGATGCATTGGTTGTCGAAAGCAAAGGACACTGGGAAGCAGTGAGGTTTGGAGTGATGCTACAGAACACAGACGGACCTGTTGGAGGCTTCAGGGTGGGGAGATCTGGGCCGCAAGAGTTGCTGGACGTTGGGGGTTGGTCGGATACTGGAGCGACTCACGAACCACGCAAGCGAACTGCGGAAGGTCGGAGCGCGCTGGATGCATACGGCGCTGGGGTTCGGACGGCACTGAGGTTTGAAGAGTGCTGGTGGGGTTCGGAGGGTGCTGGGGTTCGGAGGGTGATGGGTTTCGGAGGTTGCTGGGGCTCGGAAGGTGTTGGGTCTCGGAGGGTGCTGGAGTTCGGAGGGTGCTGGGGTTCGGGGGGGGGGGGCGCTGAGCTTCGGAGGGCGCTGGGTTTCGGAGGGTGCTGGGGCTCGGGGGGGGGGGGGTGCTGGGGTTCGAAGAGTACTGGCGTTCAATAGACAATGGAGGTTATGCGAACGTTACGGACGGACAATGCCGGATATCAGAGGGCAAAGGAAGACTCTCCGTGAAGCCGGGACCGAGTCAAGGACCATACCAGGTCCGTCACAACACAGGGGAGCGGGCGGATCCTCACCTCCACGATCTCCTGGCTGGGGTCCCAGTCGAGGTCGAAGGCCGGCTCCAGGCCGGGCAGGCGGAGCCCGAGACCGCGCCGGCCGCGCTGCGTCGACAGCTCCACAGGGTCCACGATACCCTGGCCCTCCTTGCCCAGACCTGTGCCCTTCTTGAAGCCCATTCCCGCCTGGGGACGACCGAGGAGTGACATCGGTTTAGTGCACTTACGCAATGTTCATTTTCCGGACCGCCTTATCCCTAGGAAGTAAGCGCGCCTTTCTGTTCAGGTGCTCAGCTCCGTCACGGCACACCCAACACTGCTCAGCGAAGCAAAGTAGCTGTTGGGAGGGAAATAAATTACACTTTGTCAAAAAACCACAATGCCATAAACACAGTTGGATGCAATGACATCTCGCAACGCAAAACAAAAAAAAAATCAGGAGGCTGATAAAAAACCACACCTGATAAATCTTAGGCAAGAAACATGCTCTGATGGGAAGAATAACTGAACACCAACTGCATACCATCATTTTCTCAGCTACAGAGCTATAAGCAGCAGCTTTCTTCTTTTTGGTGGGTGGAAGGCTATGGTGAGATGAGGATGAAGTGCTTTTGCCCTCTGATTCCGGGGAGCGATCACGCTTCATGGCTTGTTTGCCAGGAAAGCTGGCAGGCCATAGACTGTCAGGATCGTCCATTTTGTCTGAGCTCTCGTCATTTGATAGATTTCTTTTCTTTTTGAATCGTGGAAGTTCAATATGTGGAGAAGAGGAACCCATCTTGTCCAAAGAGTCTTGTGTGTACTGCTTCCTTCTCCGTGCACCAGATGATATTCTACCGCCAAAGTCGCCTGGATCATCAGGGTCATCACTTGAATCTGAAAGAAAAGGAGTAATTATTAAAAAAAGTTAGCACTCCTATTGAAATGACACTGCAACGGAAAGCACAGTGGAAAGCCTGAACCCACTGGTTAGTATGACAGGCTTTCAGCTCACTGATGGCTGGCTGAGGGTCTAAGCTGCTGCACAAGCTTGCTATTTGCCTCTGACTCTGACAACTTGTAGTCTGTGGCAGCAACCACTCAGGGTCACCTAAGATCAGAGGACAGGACAAACTGGACCAAACATTGTGGTACACAAAACAGTTGCTAACACATACTGCAGGTTAACCCACATTTCCTAATCAAATGGGCCCAGGGTCCACAAAAGCACTGCTATCATATGCTCTGGTCCCTGGAATGCACCACATCAAAAGCCCTTGGGCAAAATTTACAAAATTATACAAGAAAAAGAAGACAAAAAGGTGCCAAATACATGCATCTTTTATGAAAGGCATAACACACCAATAGCTTGCCTTGTGTTTTTGGCAAGATACACAACTGCTTAGAGCTAAACCATTACTTACCACTTAGGTTCCTGGCAGACATTCTGGGTTTTGAAGAACCCCTGGGAGATCAAATAATTGTCTGGAATGCACAAACAACATTAGAAGAGCACAGATGTGGAAGTGCTTTGTTTCTGTGAGCTCATGGGGCAGTGGAGAAAGACATATGATTGTCTGAGCAGCACCAATATGTAGACATGACAAAGAGTGCAACCACATTTTTGTCTGCTGGGGTTGCTCTATTCAGTGATCTGGGGGGTTCCAACTGGGGTTTGAAGGGATTCATTACGCTAATACCAAATCATCAAAACCATAAAGCTGTCACTGCCACTCTGCGAATCACAAAGATGATGAGGAGGCAGCAGCCCACTCTTGTTGGTGGTTGCCCAGACAAAGCATGTTTTGCAGGAACAAAAATTAGTCTGGACTCTGGGTTTAACAAAGGTCCCAAACTAATAGGCAAAAGTATGAGACTTTGGGTTTTCAGTATAGATCATGACATTGTCAACTAGGTCCACCACCATATAATAATGAACTACTGCCATACTTTGGGGACAACAAATGTGATGGTCAGGCTTTAGGTACTACAATTATGTGCTCAAAAAGCCACATTCATGATTGTTTTAACAGCCTGCATAAAACCAACCCATGTTGGGAACTGCTTACCCCAGCAATAATAAAAATATGTTGCAATTCTTTAGCTTTGTTAAGCTTTAATAACAAATATCAGAATACAAAATAAAGATTAAATTTGAGGTTTGAACTGCTTTTTAGATAAAAGCATTTACATGTGTACTGCAATGGAATGCATTGCAATACAAGAGATTAAGATGATTACGCACTGAATATCAATCAATTTCCAGTTCATGTAATGATGCTACATAATGTACTTCTACCAACCACTCAAAAATATATGACATGTAATCATCTTGATGACATAAGGTTCTGCCATAATGCTCCCAAATCCTAGGATTTACAAAACACATCCAGGTGAAATTTCTGCTGTAATGTTGCTGCGATGTCTGATGTTTGACAAAGCGTTCTTTTGGCAGTCTGGATTCCTGGGTTATAGCAAACTACTTCATTTATAAACCTCTTTGAATTTGACTCATTCTGGCATAGTGTAATTATTTACCAACTGGGAGACCATTTTGTTCTTAATTTTGTTTCCTGTTTTTGACTGAATTGCTGATAATAAAAGGCTGTTTCATTAATAACACCAAAATTTCACATCACACATGCATATTCAACATGCTGATGTGTTTTTTTTGGGGGGGGGTTCTTCCTCCTCAACAAACCAAACATGATCATCAGTCTATCATACATGGAAACCCTGTCAAGCGTGTAAACCAGGTAGTTGAACCCACCGCCTGCCGCCTACTTTATTCATATTTCCAAAATACAAATGGGACAACGGTATAAAAGGAGAATGAATCAAGTCATATCACAACTAAATTCCAGCGTTTTCTCAGCTTTAACTTACCGCAAACACCAACTGCCCAAGGTCTTACAACCGCCCGATCACCATTTACGCACGTCCACAAAAAGTAGCGATTACTTTTGTCACTGTGTCGCCGTTATTGTAACCCAAATAATAGTAACGGACAAAGGCGAGGATAACTTAAGCCATAAGTACTTTTAAGGGGAAGGAAAGTGAATAATGTGTAATATCAAACTAGAAATATATTCGTATCCCGTAGTTTTTCGATTAAGTTATTTCAACACTTTTATATTTGACTCTCAAGATAATATCAGCTTCCAGCTCAACGACCTTATGTTAAAATGTAGGCTACTTTTTAAGTAACCGTATGTCGGACATACGATTACCAGTAGCACAATTACTGGCACGGCTCTATAAGAGAGCATCTGTGTACATGCTATCACCCAAATTTGTGTTATTTTACGAAGGGTTGATGGATGTGGAATTCGGGCTTGTCGGATTAAATTATTTCATGGGAGATACCAGGTGAGCAAAGGCTTTGTGGGACGTGCTGAGTGTTTGTTTCACTCTTCCGGCACGCATAATACATTGCCCTGTTTTCATTCATATTCAATGGATTGTCTTGCCTTGAGACGAGCCCTTTCAAGTATGTGGACAATCGGAAGTAAAGCGTGGTGTGTACCTGCTTTTATATTTTGTTTTTAATTGCTTAGTCGTGAGTGCCAGCTTATCCATTGGCTTATGGAGCTTCAGGACATGCATCATCGTTACTGTAGGTACATGGAAATGATGAGGTTTTTTAACAACTTGTCCCTGCTTTTTATTGTTTTTTTTTGGAAAATGAAATAAGTCCACACCCTGTGTTCTCAATAACTGAGCATATAATCCTAGCATGAACATATAGGCCTGTCACCAAATTAGCAGGCATGGATAGGGTAAGGCCCAGGAGGTGCCTAGAGGTGGCAATTGTATGTAGGCACAAGCACAATATCATGCTGCAAGTTTTGTGGACTGGTTATTAATTATCTGCTGTTACTTTTTGGTGGTTGCTGTTTTAATGCGAATCATTGTATCAAGTGTCTGGCTTTAAAATTTGAAATTTTTTGTAACATCAACAAAGACTGTTAAAATTAGAGGAAATATGAGACATTACGCATAAGCTAGATAACTTCCCTTTGTTCATTGGTGTTTTTGGGCATGTTGACTGCAGTGGTCGTTTTGTGCCTAAGATAACTTCCCTTGACTTTGGAACCAGTGTCAGGTGAATGGAGTTTCTGCACCTTTTTTACTGGCCATGGTTTTAGGAAGGCATATATTTATGTAATACATGCAAAATAACAACATAATAAAAGTCAGACATGGCTGAAAGATGCTATAGCACCATTTCTGTCAGTAAGGTGCATATATGGATACCTATAAAGCATGTTGTGGGTTTGGTGATTGAAAATGATGAATGACAGGCAAATACTTACTTGAGTTGACAGGGAATGTTCTGATTTGGCAGATAATGTGGATTTTACTCTCCTAGAAAGAGCCTGAAGTGTTGAAGGTTTTCCAAATCAGGCTACAGAAGCACAAAGGTAAGTTTTGCTTTGAACAATATTTGTCAAATGTCATCATGCATTGCACAATTTTTTTTCTGATGAGCACTGGGGTAACACAATACCTATGTTAAGGTGGTGATGTAAAGGACATGTACTATCTTTTATGTGATAATGTTTGATATGGCCATTGGTGGGTATCAAACTGTGAAACTATGGCCTTATGGCACAGCTGTGCTATAACAATCACTTTCTGGCCTCATCATTTGCACTGGGAAGTTGTATTACAGGATTTTGTGTGGATTTTGCTTAATGCTGCTTAAAGACTAAGGACCAAACAAAAACATATTGGGATAGCTTATGTTTATCCATATTTAAAAACTTGGGCTCATGTAGCCTGATGGTTTGTTCAGGTGACCAAATGAATATACCAAGTAATATATCAAATCATAGACCAAATGATAGAATCACCCATGGTATGGTCAAATCCTGTTAAGAAATCTGCAGCTGCAGAAGCAATTTTCTGCATACAATATGAGTGGATACTGCTGCACCAACAGTAGTATAATTTTCTAGGTACATCTCCTGTCCATGTATCTTGTTTCCAAACAGCCTGCACCAGCATTACTTGTTTTCCCTGCAATTCCTTAGAGGTGGAGCTTTTTCAGATGTTTGCTTTTATCACCAAGTTTGTGCAAAAGATCATTTTTCTTCCTTGCCCTGTCTGAACTCTACTGAGTGACCTGCAGAGTTCAGAGCAAATGGGATGGTCATCAGTCCCTAGCCCCTCAATTTTATGGAACATTCCACCCATGGTCTTCAGTGTTTTATCACACAAAAACTGCATGGAAAGACCTGCAGAGTTCAGAGTGAAGGGGGATGAGCTCACATGTCTTTAGCCCCTCAATTTTACAGAAAGTGCCACCCATGGTTCCCAGTGTTTTACCACACAGAAACATCAATCCACCAGTGCTTGGGGCACACAGTGGTGTCAGAGAGGGGAGTCGTCAGTGCAGCGACCGGTCGGGCCGGCGGCCGCGTGCCATTGGCGCTGCCCGGTGCAGAGGGCGTGCCGGTCGCCAACCGTAACTCGCCGCCCGCTCTATTGGACGACCGGTGCGCCCGTGTCGGCAGCGGCGCCGACCGACGGTAATTTCATTTTGAAGATCTACAGCATCCCAGGGACACGGCACTTGCCTAATTTTCTATTTAGGGCTCCCGGTGGCGGGCTTGGCTCGGCCAGTGGCGCGTGGGACTGCTGTCTGCGCAAGGCGGAGCGGAGACGGTCGGAAGCTGGGCTGGAGAGGTCCGGTCGGCTGGCGTTTGGCTAGTGCCGCCGCCGGCCGCCAGGCGGCAGACGCGTATGCGGAAGGGTTTGTCGGTGTGAGCGTGTGGCGGCTGGTGTACTGCGAAGGAGTTTTGCCGTTGGTCGAGTTGCGGGGGATGGGGAGGGCGGTGTGAGGAATAGGTAGAGTCATGGCGCATGTTGTTTTCGCTGCGGATGCTCTTGCAGTCTGTTGGCACGGGAGCACAGGTTGACATACCGCAAACCCACTTGGACGGGATGTTGCGCTGGGGGCCCGGTATCATGATGCACAGCTCGAGCGCTACCCCTTCAGGGACGAAGAGAGTATGAGCATGTCTGGCTGCCCGCGATACACAAATATTTTCGCTGCAGTGCGTTTTTCGTACTTCTTGGACGGCGTGATGTGATCAAATATGACATGAGGTGACAGGCCACTGTTGATGCTACCAGCTCGGGATACACTCCGCCTGATAAACTCCAGACGAGCCGCTGTATACGCAGCCAGTCAGCCGGCGGCGAGTCAGCCAGCCCCGGCGTGGCCGGCTAATCCACCGGCCGGGCGCGGGAGTCACGCCTCGCCATCGCTCTGCCAAAGGTCAGCCGTCCGCTCGGCGCAGCGGCCGGTGGCAAGCTGCTGCGCTCAGCACCGCTGGGGAGAGGCTCGCCATCGGTCTGCCGAGGCGAGGTCGCTGACTCGGCTCGCGCGCCGCTCGGCAGGCGGATGGCCGCGGTGGCCCCATCGGTCTGACCTGTGGCGTGACCTCCGACCCCGGAGCGCGTGGTTGACGTCGGGATGAGGCTCGGTGCGCCGCGATTAGATGCTGTCCGCGGTCGCACGCCTAAATATTTGCACGGGGTCGTGTAACCGGGCCAGCCGTCTGTTTTCACCGGCTTATCGTGCGGCGGTGCGGTGCTGACTGAAGCGGTGGAGGCATCAGAAAGCCCGCGCCAGGGTGGCCTGATGCGGGTTTGGTGGGTATGGTATTATGGGCTGCTTGCCATCGTCCGACCCGTTGCTGAATTTTATGATCGGTGTCGAAGGCTTAGGTCGAAGGCACGTCCGTACTGTAGCCCAACGGAGGATGAGCCCCTCGCCCTTTACGATAATTGTCACTTTTGAGCACGATTCGCAGCTGCCATTTAACAGTCGTCTTGGATACAGGTATTTCCTGTTTTTGAAACGCAAACCGGCGGTGCTGTTCTGTCTGCTGTCGCCCAGCTGTGGTTACCTGATGACGGTGACCCATGATGACCTATGGTGATGCTGGTGACCTATTTCAACCCGGCGTGACGTCGACATATTGTGGCATGAGATGGCGTGACCTGGTGTGACAAACAATGGACTGAGGCGGCATGTCACATGGCGTCACCTGTGGCACAGGCAGCCACATGGTGTGTCACCCGAGGTGACCTGACGTGAGCTATCACGACCTGACGTTAGGGGACGTGGCACGACGTCACGCGGGTAGCCCCCCACACCCTGCCGTGGTCTGACCTCGAGCCTGAACGCTGTTACACTTCTCTGGGCCTGTCCTCGGTCGACCACCCGTCATATGTGCCTCTTTGGGGAGGGGAGCGGGGTGCGGCGACGGCGACCCCTCACCGCACCTCCCGGCGTCCTCTCACCAGCCGGCGGCCGGAAGCCGGGCGTTTCCGGCTAAACGGCGGCAGTGACGTCACACGTCGAGCGTGGCCCGCCGTGCCGGACTTAACCGCCGTCTGATGGCGAGACGACGGCCGGCAGCTGCGACGCTGCTCTAGCCCGGCTCGTGCCGTCCCCGGCGGTGATATTGGACACTGGCGTTCGCGTGGCGCGCCGGTGGCGCCAAGCAATGGGATCAGAAAGGGAGAAGTGGAAAGGCGCATGCATTAAGGCGAGTCGCTCTGCGGATCGCGCTCTGGGAGTTCGCGCGCTTTAGGCGATCGTTGGTCATTGGCAAGGTCCTGAGAGCGCCGTCGTCAGCGCCGTGTCGCTGCCGCTGGCTCCGCGTGGGTGTCGGCCTCGGTGCCGCGGCCCTCATTGCTGCGTGTGATCGTCCGGCGCCGCGCGCTGCAGCCCGCTGCGGACGCGTCGCCGGGCCTCGTGCCGCGAAGGCCGCGTGCGGCGGGCGGGCGGGCGCGCCGTGCCGCGTGGCCGTCCCGTTTCGGGCGTCGTCTGACCTCTCATGGCGCGTCCTCGGTGGGCGGGCCCGCCCGTATGCGCGGCGCGTTTGAGCCGTATACGGGCGGGCGGCGCGCGGCTGGCGGTGTCACGGCGTCGGTCGCCGGCGGTGCTGGCGCCGCGGCCGGGCGACAGCTGCGCGGCGCGCCGCTATCGCACTCGGCGCGCCGTGATAGCAGCGGCGCAGCTGCCGGTCAGCGTGTTGCTGCTGTGAGGGGTAGTCGCCGCGCGGCGCGCTGGTGCTGGCTCCGGTGCCGGCCGGACTTGGCAGCGTCTGCCATCGCCGGCCGGGCGGTGGGCGGGCTTAGTTGCGCCCTGGGCCGGCTGAGGGCCGTCTGGCGCCGCTGCCGCCGCGGTCAGCACGTGCCGGAGCGCCGCGGCGGGCTCGTATGGTCCGCACGAAGGCGGGGCTGGGGGCAAGCGCGCGTGCAGAAGGAAGACTAAAGTGGTTTTCCCAGTGACTGGAAGTGTGCCTTAAACTTAAAGCGCCTCAGCTTTTGCAGTGTGCGTTCTCAGTGCCTTTCGCCCACCCGCGCGGACAGGGTGCGCGCCGGTGTGCCGTTGGCCGTCGTGAAGTATCTCCCGGATGTGTCGTCGTCCGAAGCTGTACTGAGCCAGTGCGAGGCAAGCATGCGGAACGGGACTGGTCGTCACAGAGCGACGCGTGGTTCACGGCCCCTTGTTTGAATAAGCGCTGCGCCGCAGGGCCATCACTGGTGTTCAGTGAACATAAATGGTGTTGGCTCTTCTCAACGTGCTAAACGCTAGAGCTAGCAAGTTCGTCCGGGCATCGCAGTGAAGGCGACTGCCAGCGGTCGTCTCCGGCAGCAGCTTTAGACCGTGGAGACCCGGACGTGCGGGCCCCTGTCTCTCTGTCTCCGGTGTCGGCGGTATCTCCGGAGCGGAGGTGCTCTAGTGAACCATGCCCGTGCCGTGGACCCGGTGGCGCTCGAACGTGACGCAGGCGGCGCAGAAGGTGGCGCGTGACACGGAGGCGTGGCTGCGACCGGAGGGCGTGGCCAGGAGGGCGGAGCAGGAGCGGCGTGAGGCGGAGGAGGTCAGTGTGGACGTTCGGGTGATACCACTGTGGATGGTCACACGGTCACGCTACATATCAGAAGTGAAGTTTCACTGAATGGGTTGGGAGGCTGTTCAGTGAAAATTGACGAAACCTGTCCAACAAAAATGCATCGAATGGGTCTCCCGGATTTTGCCCACTTTTCGCAAATTGGGTAGCCCTAGCCCGAAACCTATCCGGCCCTCCGAAACGAATTGTAAACGTGGCATGACGTAACGTGACGTGACGTGACATGCTTATTTTGGAAGGGTGTTGGCAAATTGCTATGGTCTGAGTTCTCCCCCTGTCCCTAATTGCGTTTTCACGCCAGTTACATCATGATACGTGGAATAAGCCTAGAGTTCCGATATAGTAATGGCGACTCTTCTTTCACGTTGTCATGTCTGAACTTCGGCCTGCCGTCGTTGCCCTTGCGGGTATTTTCCGGCGTTTTTATTTTGAACGCTTTTTGTATCACGTTTTTTATCTCAATGATGCGTTTGAGACCACTTCCAATTGGACCTGTCCATTGAATTTTGAGATCCTTGGGGCGGGATGAGAGGCATCCGGGAGCTCCCCGCACTGATCCTAGTCCTCTGCATACTCTCAGAAATACGAGTGAAACAGCACCCGTCTTGGTCCTGGCAGGGTGGTACGTGGCGGGGCGGCAGGGCGGCATTGCACACGCGCTCGGATCGCACGGACACGCAGCCCTCCCTCCCTTGATCACCGGTGATCACCTTCGTGATCATCCGTGATCAGCGGGACACGGGACGGAGCCGATTGGCCGCAATCGTCCTCTCGAGGATGTCGTCGAGTGCGTCGACAGCGAGTTAGGTTGGACAGCGCATTACAGCTCGTCTCCCGGCGCCCTCGTCGCTAATGTGATGCGAGGATTGCAGGCGCACTTCGGGCGGCCGTTCTCCGCTGTCATACATGATGCGCAGGGGTGTTCAGAGGGGCGCTAGGGGTTGGGAGGGATGTTCAGAGACGCGTTAGAGGTGGCAGGGATGTTCAAAGAGGTGTTAGGGGATGGCAGGGATGTTCAGAGGGGCGTTAGAGGTGGCAGGGATGTTCAGAGAGGCGTTAAGGGGTGGCAGGGATGTTCAGAGACGCGTTATGGGGTATCAGGGGTGCTCAGAGAAGCGCCATGCGGTATCAAGGATGTTCAGAGAGGCGTTAGGGGACATCAGGGATGTTCACAGAGGTGTTAGGCGCTGGCAGGGTGGGGATCTGGCTCACATTCCCAGTCGGCGTCAGGGTCATGGGACGGGAATGTCCGGCTACCGAGTATACTGGTTTTCGCCCCTCTGTGTCCCGCCCTCCAGCCGGTACAGATTCAAGAAAACACCGGGCACCCTCCTTTCCTGCGGTCACCAGTGTCTCCAGTGTCGCTGGTGTCGAAGGGTGTATGTAGGCTTTGCAATGTGGGGGTGGCACCCAAAATTTTCAGTTTAGAACGCATTGTAGCGCGCCGCGTCACAGTGCTTGAGCGCGGCTTTAGAACGGTACAAGATCCATTACTCGTGAACGAAGCAACCCAGAGTAATGAAACAAGTACGGGACGAATTTTTACATGTGCCGCATCGTGTGAGCAAACACTGCTGCATACTGAATGTATTAAAGGCGTTCAAACGAGGGCAAATGGTATAGTGATGTAAGCGTGACGTTGAAGTCATTCATGTTTCACGTTGGAAAACTCTCCCTCTCCCTCTCCCTCTCTCTTTTCCACCCTCTGGTAGAACTCCAGATAACATACCAAGCGCTGCACTGTTGGAATCACCTGTGTCCCCATCATACTGGCCGTAAGCCTTGGGTAGGGCTCTGCAGCTCGAAGTCGGGGCAGCGGATCTTCCGCCTGTCTGCATGCATAGTGCCTCTTCGTCGTCTGCCTAAAAAACCCACAGCCGCGGACAAAGTCAACCGCAAGTCTCGTCCATCACGTCATCCTTTCGGTCACGAAACACCGCGGCCGTGGCGCGCTCCGCGTTTGGCGTTGGAGACCGTCTTTTGTTGTTTTCTTTTGACACAGGACCGCCGTTTATTTATCACGCCAGGGGCCGGGCCGGTAGCAGGGGAGTCGGCCGCGGCGACATCACGGCGCTGCCTCGCACCGGGCGTCGCTCATCCCGGCCGGCGCGCGCGTCACCGGTCGCTCCATAAAAGCGCCGGCGGCTCCATTTCGGCGACACAACTTGGCCTTTACGGCGCCCGGTGCCGCGTCGGGCGCGGTTTGTGGGCCCGTACGGGCTCGGCCGCCGTCCGCACTGAACAAAGACGTGAGTCATGCCGGGGGCTCTGGCCGCGCTTCGGGGCGCGGGGGCGCCGGATGGGGGCGTCCCCCCGGGCATTGATGGCGGATTTAATGGCTGGGGCTCGTTGCGCTCCGCTGTTCTTCAGGACAAGACGCTGAATGACACACGGAGTGCGGAATGAGGCACTCCGCGTGTCTGAGAAAACGACGGTCGAAATTGAGTGTTGAAAAGTCGGAGCGTGGTGTGTCGCCGGCCCACTGCAGATCGCCACCGGCTCCAGGCTGAGCCTCATCCTCGCCGTGTGTCTCGAGGTCACACCCGTCGGGGTACGCCCCGCTGGTGACGGACGCCTTGCCGGGGTGGCCAACATCCGGCCCTGCACTGGACCTTGTCAAGGCTGTCGCCGCCCGGCGCTGCCTCGTCGGCCGGGCGGCCGCCGGCGGTCGTACCGGGCACGTTCTCACGAGACAGACCAGACCGCCAGCGGCCGTTCTGATGTGACAGGTCGAGCCGTCAGCGGCCGTTCTGGGGTGACAGATCAGGCCATCAGCGGCCGTTCTGGGGTGACAGATCAGGCTGTCAGCGGCCGTTCTGATGTGACAGGTCGGGCCGTCAGTGGCCGTTCCGGCGTAACAGGTTGGGCCGTCAGCGGCCGTTCTGGGGTGACAGATCAGGCCGTCAGCGGCCATTCTGATGTGACAGGTCGGGCTGTCAACGGCCGTCCTGATGTGACAGATCAGACCATCAGCGGCCGTTCTGATGTGCCAGGTCGGGCTGTCAGTGGCCGTTCTAGTGTGACAGGTCGGGATGTCAGCGGCGTCAGCCCCTTGCTGCCAGGTCGCCGGAAACAGCGGTGCTTTCGGCTGGACGTTTGCTCTTCGACGGATGCACGGACAGCTGGCATGGCGGCGAGTGATTGCGGCGGAAGGGCTGGCTCTTTGTCTTTCGCACGTCACCCTTCCCTCCAGACTGTACGGGTCGTTTGCACACCACTCATGACCGGCGGCTGATCGCTCTGGATGCCGCCCTCTGCGTGAGCGCGAGTCTCGCCGAGCGGCAGCCACAGACGGCGGCGGGCGTCCGTCCGGCCGCGCACCGCCGATCCCGCAGCATGTCACCGGCAGCGTCCGGCGACCAGTCAGCGGTCGCCGTGACGTGCGAGTGACGTCACGTACGTCCGGCTGAGGTCACTTCAGATGTGTTTCCAGCGATTCTGGTTTACGGATGGCCTTGCTCTGGAAAGGCCGGACGAGCGTCGAACGACTCCTGGTCGAGATTTGAATGGCTCTTATCGAGCGTTGAATTTCTCCTAGCCGGGCGTAGAATTACTCCGGACCTAGCGTAAAATTACTCCTGGCTGAGCGTCAAATGACTCTTGGTCGAGCTCCGAAGGATGCCCGGGCGGGCTTCGAACGGCGCCGAGACGAGCTGCGGCAGACTCTTGAGCTCTCGGACGAGCTGCGGACGCGTTCCACCGAAGCGTGTCACGACTCCCATCGAAATCCCTGACGACCCCCGCTCGAACCGTTTTCTGTTGGGGGGGGGGGGAGGGGAAGGGGCAGGTGCTCATGAGCGCTTAAGATTTCCACGGTGCGCCGTGTGCTGGACGGCGGCGGCTGCTGCTGCGACAATCATAAGTGCCACGACCTCCCCGTCTGGCCGGCCGTTACAGACAGAGGCCGCCCAGGCGTGCTCAACCTGAACACCTCAGCCGGAAGAGTGCTGTGAGTGTGTGTCCCGCCTGGTGATCCCTTCCTCACCGGCCACCCGGTCCGTCGTTCTACCATGGCGGCGGGTCCGCCGTGCCGTGCTATCGGTGCAGTGGGTGTGCCGTGCTGTCGGTGCAGTGGGTCTGCCGTGCTGTCGGTGCAGTGGGTCTGCCGTGCTGTCGGTGCAGTGTGTCTGCCGTGCTGTCGGTGCAGCGGGTCTGCCGTGCTGTCGGTGCAGTGGGTCTGCCGTGCTGTCGGTGCAGTGGGTCTGCCGTGCTGTCGGTGCAGTGGGTCTGCCGTGCTGTCGGTGCAGCGGGTCTGCCGTGCTGTCGGTGCAGTGGGTCTGCCGTGCTGTCGGTGCAGTGGGTCTGCCGTGCTGTCGGTGCAGTGGGTCTGCCGTGCTGTCGGTGCAGTGGGTCTGCCGTGCTGTCGGTGCAGTGGGTCCGTGCTGTCGGTGCAGTGGGTCTGCCGTGCTGTCGGTGCAGCGGGTCTGCCGTGCTGTCGGTGCAGTGTCTGCCGTGCTGGGGTGCAGCGGGTCTGCCGTGCTGTCGGTGCAGCGGGTCTGCCGTGCTGTCGGTGCAGTGGGTCTGCCGTGCTGTCGGTGCAGTGGGTCTGCCGTGCTGTCGGTGCAGTGGGTCTGCCGTGCTGTCGGTGCAGTGGGTCTGCCGTGCTGTCGGTGCAGTGGGTCTGCCGTGCTGTCGGTGCAGTGGGTCTGCCGTGCTGTCGGTGCAGGGGTCTGCCGTGCTTCGGTGCAGTGGTCTGCCGTGCTGTCGGTGCAGCGTGTCTGCCGTGCTGTCGGTGCAGTGGGTCTGCCGTGCTGTCGGTGCAGTGGGTCTGCCGTGCTGTCGGTGCAGCGGGTCTGCCGTGCTGTCGGTGCAGTGGGTCTGCCGTGCTGTCGGTGCAGTGGGTCTGCCGTGCTGTCGATGCAGCGGGTCTGCCGTGCTGTCGGTGCAGTGGGTCTGCCGTGCTGTCGGTGCAGTGGGTGTGCAGCACCACCCGACGGTGACGCTCGGTGCCGTCCCAGCCCGACAGTTCC